CTCCTGTATTCGGGGTAATTATGATACAACAAATATGACTAGAACTGCAACGTCATTTATTATACTTTCAAGAAAAGTTCATCAGTAAGCATGTATGTCAGCTGTCTCTCTTCAATCAAAAAATGAAAATGCAGTTAATTCAAATCTTGAGTGACTACGTTTCGCCCACGCAGCAGGTTTCGTCACATCACAGATAAACAAGGTTAGGGGGGGGGACCATAACAGGTGACTTTTAAATCTTTAAAGTATTAAGTTGTCACGAATTTCTTTTTTGGTGTCGCTTCACCATTTTTCTCACTTCCATTTAAAAGTTTTTTCTTAAAAAATGTGTTCTTTTTTTGGCACTTTTTTACTCCTTATTAAAAATGTATTATTCACATACTTGGGAAATACATACAATCAGTTGTATTAGTCTCGCTCAACAGGAAAAGGGATCCTACTGCGTGTCAAAGGCCTTGATCCAAGAATAACACTACCCCCCTTCTTTGATTAATCATTTTTTTTTTATGATATTCCTAGGGAGACCCATAGGGGTTTAGCGCTTCTCGAATACAAAAAAATAAATCTCAACCTGTCCTCCATACCCACACGAAAACCCCAAAAAAGACAGACATTTGATAAAAAGGCAAAAAAGACTAAACTGTTTAAATACTGTAATTACCTGCCCCAAAAAAAAGATTTTCGATATAACCAAAGGATTTAAAAAGACTGTAGTTTGCTTGCTGACCTGGTAGGCAGGTTTGTTACCTTCTATGTGAAAGTCAGTTATGAGATGGCTTCATTTGTAGGCACACGATCAATGTTGCCTTAGTTACCAGTGGAGAAAAAACCCCCAGGGGAAAGGAAGTCTTCTTAGGTTAACAATTTTGAAGAAACTTGAATCCTGTCAGACACGCAACATCTTGGATTTTCATGCCGGAATTTGTTCAAAACTTGTCAAACCTATATAACCCCTATTCCCTACTTTGGGCCCTTTATTTAAAGCCTATATGTGGGGCATTTCCTTCGTGTCTTTTAAAAAACAAAGACTCATCTGCCTACAGGCCTATTTAAACGAGAAAGACACTGCATGAGAAATTTCCCAAAAGGAAGATTCTTTCTTGGTAAAAACATCACAAAAAAGTTTTTCGATTATTTTGCGTGACTCTTTGTCTCGAATTTCAACTTAAATTAAATAATGTGAGATTTTAAAGAATCACCAAAGAACATTTATTAAGGTTACCAGAAAAATTCACAGTTTTAATTAGCCCAGTAACTCGGATTTTAACCAAGTTTGACTAACCTTTTGTTAATATTTAAAAGAAAAAAGCGTAAACTTTAATTGAAAACGGGTGAAATATTTTAAAAGTTTTTTAAACGAATGGAAATGAAAAGCGAAAAAACTTTCGTCCGTTCTGGGCATTATTAGATCTCCTGTACAGTTACCGAATTCAGTTGCGGAAAAGATACAGTGGGAAAGGGATTGAACCTGTCATCTTTAGTTAGCGGGGGACGTGGAAGGTAAAGAACCTTTCATTTCAGTTAGCAGGGTACGTGGAAGGTAATGAACCTGCCATCTTCAGTTGCGGATACAGTGGAAGGTAATGAACCGTCTCTTCTTAGTGGGTTCAGGGAAGGTAAAGAACCTGTCATCTTCAATAGGGGGGTACGTGGAAAGGGAATGACCCGTCATCTTAAATAGTGGGGGAAAATTTGGAAGGGGAATGAACCTGTCATCTTCAATTTTGGGGTACAGGGAAGATAATGAACCCCCATCCAATTAATGGGATACAGGGAAGGGAATGAACCCGCCCCTTCAATTAGGGGATACGTGGGAAAATAATGACCCGTCATCTTCCAAATTTTGGGGTACAGGGAAGGGAATGAACCTGTCATCTTCAATTATGGGAAAAGGGAAGATAATGAAACCCCCCTTCAATTAAGGGATACAGTGGAAGATAATGAACCTGCCCCTCTTCAATTAATGGGATACAGGGAAAAATAATAAAACCCGTCCCTCTTCAATTAAGGTCGTGGGAAAATAAAGAACCGTCTCTTCTTAATGGGGTACAGTGGAAGATAAGAACCCTTTATCTTTAATTAATGGGGTACAGTGGAAATAATGAACCTGTCCTTCAAATTTAAAGGGGTACAGTGGAAGTAATAACTGCCACTTCAATGTGGGATACAGTGGAAGATAAAGAACCCTTCACTTCATTAGTGGGGTACAGGGAAGATAATGAACCGTCACTTTTAATTAGTGGGATAATTTTGGGGTAATGAACCTTCTCTTTAATTTTGGGAACATTGGAAAAATAAGAACCTGCATCTTCTTAGTGGATACATTGGGTAAGAACCTTCATCTTTAAATTTTTGGGCTGCTGGGGAAATGAAAGAACTTCTTTCAAAATTGATGAAAAACGAAACTCGAAAAGTACAGACTCTTGAAGACAATTTCTAGGGAGAAAGAAATTTAAAGAAATTTGACGATCAATTTACCCCTCGTACGTGAAGATTTCAAAAATTTGTTTGAAGCAATGTTCAAACAAATCTGTCTTTCACTTTTGATACTCATCATATACAGTACAGGAGCAAGTTGATATAATGAATAGGTTTCACACAGAGCTTAGAAGAACATAGGTTAACATGGGAAATAGAAAATCGAAATTCTAAATTTTTGATTAGTATTATTTATATTTTTTTAACACATCGGCCGTTTCCGCCAGCTTTCATCATCATTCAGTATATCACTGTCTTGTCAGAGGCAAGATACCTACAGTTATATAAACTGTAGGTGGATACACCTTCAGAGTGCAGGCACTGTACTTCCCATCTCAGGAATCAAGTTGGCCTGCGGTTTCCTGAATCCCTTATAAATGTACCTTCCTTATACTCCACAGCACGTCAAGTACTAATGCCATTTGTCTTCCATTCGCTTGCTGGTCTAACACGCTCACGCACGCTTGCTGGAAGTCACCTTTCTCCACTACAGATAACTTGTAACACGCCAACGCACGCTTGCTGGATAATTCCACCTTTCCTCACTACAGATTAGTATGTACTCGCTCACGCAACGCTGCTGGAAGTCATCCTTTCCTCCATACAGATTAGTATGTAACACGCTCACGCACGCTGCTGGAAGTCCAACCTTTCCCCAGTACAGATTAGTATGTAACTCGCTCACGCACGCTTGTGAAAGTCACCTTTCCTCCACTAGATTTAGTATGTAACACGCTCAGCACGCCTTGCTGGAAGGTCCACCTTTCCTCCACTAAGATAGTATGTAACACGCTCACGCACGCTTGCTGGAAGTCCACCTTTCCTCCCACTACGAGTATATGTAAACACGCTCACGCACGCTTGCTGGAAGTCACATGTCCTCATACAGATTAGTATGTAAACACGCTCACGCACGCCTTGCTGGAAGTCCACCTTTCCTCCACTACAGATTAGTATGTAACACGCTCACGCACGCTTGCTGGAAGTCCACCTTTCCTCCACTACAGATCTAGTAAGTAAACACGCTCACGACGCTTGTGGAAGTCCACCTTCCTCCACTACAGATTAGTAGTAACGAGCTCACGCACGCTTGCCTGGACAGTCCACCTTTCCTCCACTAAGATTAGTATGTAACACGCTTCACGCACGCTTGCTGGAAACGTCACTTTCTCCACTACAGATTAGTATGTAACACGATCACGCACGTTGCGGAAAAGTCACCTTTCCTCCACTACAGATTAGTATGTAACACGCTCACGCACGCTTGCTGGAAGTCCACCTTTCCTCCACTACAGATTAGTATGTAACACGCTCACGCACGCTTGCTGGAAGTCCACCATTCCTCCACTACAGATTAGTATGTAACACGCTCACGCACGCTTGCTGGAAGTCCACCTTTCCTCCACTACAGATTAGTATGTAACACGCTCACGCACGCTTGCTGGAAGTCCACCTTTCCTCCACTAAGATTAGTATGTAACCGCTCACGCACGCTTGTGAGAAGTCCACCTTTCCTCCACTACAGATTAGTATGTAACACGCTCACGCACGCTTGCTGGAAGTCCACCTTTCCTCCACTACAGATTAGTATGTAACACGCTCACGCACGCTTGCTGGAAGTCCACCTTTCCTCCACTACAGATTAGTATGTAACACGCTCACGCACGCTTGCTGGAAGTCCACCTTTCCTCCACTACAGATTAGTGTGTAACACCTCACGCACGCTTGCTGGAAGTCCACCTTTTCCTCCATACAGCAACTTCATCCCGCTCACGCACGCTTGTGGAAGTCACCTTTCCTCCACTACAGTTTAGTTATGTAAACACGCTCACGCAGCTTGCTGGAGTCCACCTTTCCTCCACTCAGTTCGTATGTAACACCGCTCCTCGCACGCTTGCTGGAAGTCCACCCTTTCCTCCCACATACAGATTAGTATGTAACACTGCTCACGCACGGCTTGCTGGAAATCACTTCTCACTACAGATTAGTATGTAACACGCTCACGCACGCTTGCTGGAAGTCCACCTTTCCTCCACTACAGATTAGTATGTAACACGCTCACGCACGCTTGCTGGAAGTCCACCTTTCCTCCACTACAGATTATTCTTCCCCCCCCCCCATTCATTTAGAGGATGCATAAATACTTAGCATATTTTCTTTGGAATCCAAATATTCATTCATCATTACATTTTTTTTACTTTTTTTAAGTTTCTACAGTTTTGGATGAAAACAAATATAATGAATTACATCAAAGACTCTTCGGTAAAAGCTACGTCACAGCGACTCAAAATGTTCTTCTGTTGGTTGAGTGGCACAACAAGAACGTACCGGGAGACAGGAATGTTGCTTACTGAACGTACCGGGAGCCAGGAATGTTGATTACTGAACGTACCGGGAGCCAGGAATGTTGCTTACTGATACATACCGGGAGCCAGGAATGTGCTTAACCTGAAAAGTTACGGGTGTCAGGATGTTGCTTACTGAACGTACCGGGAGCCAGGAATGTTGCTTACTGAACATACCGGGAGCCAGGAATGTTGCTTACTGAACGTACCGGGAGCCAGGAATGTTGCTTACTGAACGTACCGGGAGCCAGGGAATGTGGCTTATGAACGATAACGGGAGTCAGGAATGTTGCTTACTGAACGTACCGGGAGTCGGTATTTTGCTTACTGAACGTACCAGTGAGCCAGGAATGTTGCTTACTGAAAGTACCGGGAGAAGCAGGAATGTTGCTTACTGAACGTACGTGAGAGCGGAATGTTGCTTACTGAACCGTACAGGGAACAGGAATGTTGCTTACTGAAGTACCGGGAGCATGAATGTTGTTAATGACGCCCCCCCCCCCCCCCCCTACCGAGAGCGGAATGTTGCTTACTGAACGTACCGGAGTCAGGAATGTTGCTTAATGAACGTACCGGGAGTCAGGAATGTTGCTTACTGAACGTACCGGATGTCAGGAATTGTTGCTTAATGAATGTACCGGGATGTCAGGATGTTGCTTACTGACGTACCGGGAGTCAGGAATGGTGCTTACTGAAACGTACCGGGAGTGGTCAGGAATGTTGCTTACTGAACGTACCGGGAGTCAGGAATGTTGCTTATGAACGCCCCCCCCCCCCCCCCCCCCCCCCCCCCCCCCCCCCCCCCCCCCCCTCCGGGAGTCAGGAATGTTGCTTACTGAACGTACCGGGACGGTCAGGAATGTGGCTTACTGAACGTACGGGAGTCAGGAATGTTGCTTACTGAAGTACGGAGCCAGGAATGTTGCTTACTGAAACGTTCCGGGAGTCAGGAATGTTGCTTACTGAACATACCGGGAGTCTGGAATGTTGCTTTACTGAACGTACCGGGAGTCAAGGAATGTTGCTTTACTGAATGTCCGGGAGTCAGGAATGTTCTTATGAACGTACCGGGAGTCAGGATTGTTGCTTACTGAACGTTCGAGAGCCAGGAATGTTGCCTTATGAACGTACGGGAGCCAGGCATGTTGCTTTCTGAACGTACCGGGACCAGGAATGTTGCTTACTGTAACGTACCGGGAGTCAGGAATGTTGCTTACTGAAACGTAACGGAGTCAGGAATGTTGCTTACTGAACGTACCGGGAGTCAGAATGTTGCTTACTGAACGTACCGGGAGTCAGGAATGTTGTTATGAATGTACGGGACGTCAGGGAATGTTGCTTACTGAACGAACCGGGAGCCAGATTGTTGTACTGAACGTACGGGAGTTCAGGAATGTTGCTTACTGATCGTAACGGGTGTCTGGAAATGTTGCTTACTGAACGTACCGGGAGTCAGGAAATGTGCTTAATGAATGTAAGGGGAGTCAGGAAATGTTGCTTACTGAAAGTACCGGGAGTCAGGAATGTGGCTTACTGAATGTACGGGAGTCAGGAAAGTTGCTTAATGAACGTAACCGGGAGCCAGGAATGTTGCTTACTGAACGTACGCGGAGACAGGAATGTTGTTACTGAACGTACGGGGAGCAGGAATGTTGCTTACTGAAATACCGGGAGCCAGGAATGTTGCTTACTGAAGTACGGGAGCAAGGATTGTTGCTTACTGAAACGTAGGGATGTCAGGAATGTTGCTTACTGAACGTGCCGGGGAGTCAGGAATGTTGCTTACTGGAACGTACCGGGAGTCAAAAATGTTGCTTACTGAACGTACGGGAGCCAGATGTTGCTTACTGAACGTACAGGGAGCCAGGAATGTTGTTACTGAACGTTACGGGAGCAAGGAATGGTGCTTACTGGATCGTCGGAGCCAGGAATGTTGCTTACTGAACGTACCGGGGTCAGGAATGTTCTTACTGAAACGTTCGGGATGGTGAAGTCAGGAATGTTGCTTACTGAACGTACCGGGTAGGTCAGGATGTTGCTTACTGAATTGTACCGGGAGTCAGGAATGTTGCTTACTGAACGTACCGGCAGCAGGAATGTTGCTTACTGAACGTACCGGGAGCACAGATGTTGCTTAACTGAACCGTACCGGGTGTCAAGGTATGTTGCGTACTGAACGTACCGGGAGTAGGAATGTTGCTTACTGAAAGTACCTGGAGTCAGGAATGTTGCTTACTGAACGTACCGGGAGTCTGGAATGTTGCTTACTGAACGTACGGGAGATCAGGAATGTTGTGACTGATACGTACCGGGAGCAAGGAATGTTGCTTACTGAACGTACACGGGAGACAGGATGTTGCTTACTGATCGTCCGGAAGTCTAGGAATGTTGCTTATGAACGTACGGGAGTCAGGAATGTTGCTTAATGAATGTACCGGGAGTCGGGAATGTTGCTTACTTGAAACGTACCGGGAGTAAGGATGTTGCTTACTGAACGTACCGGGAGCCAGGAATGTTGCTTCTGAACGTACGGGAGCTGGAATGTTGCTTAATGAACGTACCGGGAGCCAGGAATGTTGCTACTGAAACGTACCGGAGTCAGGATTCGTTGCTTACTGAACGTACCGGGACGTCAGGTATGTTGATTTACTGACGTAACAGGGTCAGGAATGTTGCTTACTGACGACAGGGAATAGTCAGGTATGTTGCTTAATGAATGTACGGGAGTCAGGAATGTTGCTTACTGAACGTACGGGAGCCAGGAATGTTGCGTACTGAAGTTCCGGGAGCCAGGGGGAATGTTGCTTACTGAACATCCGGGAGCCTGGATGTTGGGCTTACTTAACGTACCGGTGAGCCAGGAATGTTGCTTACTGATCGTACCGGGAGTCAGGAATTGTTGCTTACTGAACGTAAGGGTGTTCAGGAATGTTGCTTACTGAACGTACCGGGTGTCAGGAATGTTGCTATACTGAACGTACGGGATGCCAGGAATGTTGCTTACTGAACGTACCGGGAGCCAGGAATGTTGTTACGAAGTACCGGGAGGAGCAGATGTTGCTTACTGAACGTACAGGGAACCAGGAATGTTTGCTTACTGAACATACCGGGAGCCAGGAAGGTTGCTTACTGAAACGTACCGGGAAGCCAGGATGTTGCTTACTGAAACGTACCGGAAGTCAGGGATGTTGCTACTGAAGTACGGGGCAGGGAGGGTCAGGAATGTTGCTTATCTGAACGGTACCGGGAGCAGGAATGGTTGGGGGTTGCTTACTGAATTGTACCGGGAGTCAGGAAATGTTGCTTAATGAAGTACGGGAGAAGGATGTTGCTTACTGAACGTACCGGGGGTCAGAGAATGTTGCTTATGAACGTACCGGGAGTCAGGATGTTGTTGCTTACTGAACGTACCGGGATTCTGGATTGTTTGCTTACTGAACACGTTCGGGAGTCAGGAATGTTGCTAATGAACGTACCGGGAGGTCAGGAATGTTGCTTACCTGAACGTACCGGGAGCCAGGAACTGTTGTTTACTGAAGTACCGGGAGTCAGGGAAGATGTTGCTTACTGAACGTACCGGGAGTCGAAGTCAGGAATGTTGCTTACTGAACGTACCGGGAGCAGGAATGTTTGCCTTACTGAATGTACCGGGATAGTCAGGAATTTTGACTTACTGAACGTTACCGGGAGTCAGGAATGTTGTTATGAAAGTACAGGGAAGCACAGGAATGTTGCTTACTGAACGTACCGGGAGCCAGGAATGTTGCTTACTGAACGTCCCCGGGCGCCCCGTCCTGTGCTTACTGAACGTTCCGGGAGTCAGGAATGGTTGCTTACTGAACGTACCGGGGACGTCAGAATGTTGCTTAATGAACGCCCATACCGGGATGTCAGAATGTTGCTTACTGAAACTCCGGGTAGTCAGGATTGATGTTATGAATGTACCGGGAGTCAGGAAGTCAGGAATGTTGCTTATGAACGTACCGGGAGCCCGGAAATGTTGCTTACTGACGTACCGTGGATGGAGTCAGGAATTGTTGCTTACTGAACGTACCGGGAGTAGGAATGTTGGCTTACTGAACGTACCGGAGAGGTCAGGAAATGTTGCTTACTGAAAGTACGGGAAGTCAGGAATGTTGCTTACTGAATGTACCAGGGAGTCAGGATGTTGTTACTGAACTACCGGGAGCCAGGAATGTTGCTTACTGAAACGTACCGGGAGGTCAGGAATGTTGCATACTGAACGTACCGGGAGCAGGAATGTTGCTTACTGAACATTACGGGAGCCAGGAAGGGTGCTTTACTGAACGTCGGGAGCCAGGAATGTTGCTTTACTGAACGTACCGGGTGTCAGGAATGTTGCTTACTGAACGTATACGGGAGTCAGAATTGTTGCTTACTGAAGTACGGGATGTCAAATAATGTTGCTTACTGAACGTACCGGGAGCAGGGAATGTTTTTCCTGAACGTACCGGGAGCCAGGAATGTTGCTTACTGAACGATACGGGAGCCAGGAAATGTTGCTTACTGAACGTACCGGGAGCCAGGAATGTTGCATACTGAAACGTCGGGTGTCAGGAATGGCTTACTGAAACGTACCGGGTGAGTCTGGAATGTTGCTTACTGAACGTACAGGAAGTCAGAATGTTGCTTACTGAATGTACGGGAGTCAGGAATGTTTGCTTACTGAACGTACGGGAGCCCCGGAATGTGCTACTGAAGCGTACGGAGTCAGGAATGTTGCTTATGTACGTACCGGGAAGTCCAGGAATGTAGTTACTGAAACGTACCGGGAGTAGTAATGTTGCTTACTGACGTACCGGGAGTCAGGAATGTTGCTTACTGTACGTACCGGGAGTCAGGAATGTTGCTACTGAACGTACCGGGGAGCAGGATGTTGATTATGAACGTACCGGGAGCCAGGAAAGTTGCTTACTGAATGTACCGGAGACAGGAATGTTGCTTACTGAAGTACCGGGAGCCAGGAATTGTTGCTACTGGAACGTACCGGGAGCCAGGAATGTTGTTACTGAACGTACGGATGTCAGGAATGTTGCTTACTGAAACGTACCGGGAGTCAGGAATTGTTGCTTACTGAAGTACCGGGACGTCAGGAATGTTGTTACTGAACGTACCTTGAGTCAGGAATGTTGCTTACTGAACGTACCGGGAGTCAGGATGTTGCTTACTGTTTTTAAAACGTACCGGGAGCCAGGAATTGCTTACTGAAGTACGTG